TGGGGGGGGGGGGGGGGTCTCCCGGCATCTGCAGGTGGGGCCCGGAGAGCAATTGGGCTGAATTCCCTTGGGTAGGGCCGGGCCGCCTCCTCGCTCGCCCATGGACTCTGTGGTAGCCAATACTGTGGAATCTAAAATAGGAAGGAAGGAAATTGGGAGGAAGCAAGGAATTTGGGGGGGAAGAAAGGAAGGAAATTGGGGGAAGGAATACACACAGCCACACAAACACCCCGACTGCCCAGTTCTCCGTGTGGGCTGGCGGCAGAGTGTGAGGGCTCGGGGCTGGGCCGTCCCGTCCTGTGTCCAGAGCGTCCCTTCCTGGCGGAGCCCCTGTGGAGGGGAGGAGCCGGGCTGAAGCCGAAGTGGGGGGGTTTCTGGGACCTTTTGTATCCCCTGCCCCTGTAATGATCCAGCCCCCACCCCCCAGATGTTCAGCACCTTCCCCGGCCTCATGTCCTACCTGCCGGGGCCGCCCAGGCGGATGTTTGAGAACTTCGAGCAGCTGCGGCTCTTCGTGCTGGAGCAGGTGAAGCGGCACCAACTGCCCCCGCAACGTCATCGATTGCTTCCTGCTCAGGATGGAGCAAGTAAGAGGGTTGCAGGTGGGGGAGGAGGACGACTGATCCCCTTAAAACTCCTCCAGCAGAGAGGCAGTGTGTCCTAGTGGGTGGAACCCTGGGCTGGGGCCCAGGCAACCTGCGCTTGGCTACTGGCCTGCTGGGTGGTGGCCCGGTGCCTCAGTTTCCCCACCTGTGCAATGGGGCCAAGGGTTCTCCTTTTGCCTGACAGAGCCTGCCCCTTGGTTTGGCATTGCCAGGCACTGGGGGGCGGGGCCTGATTTTGGTTGTGGGAATGGACTCCGGGTGCCACAAGAGGTGTAAATAATTACCGTAAAACACCTAATAGTGATAGAAACATACAGCCCCTGGCACAGTGCTACCGTAATACACCTAATAGGAATAGAAACATACAGCTCCTGGCACAGTGGGGGCTGGTTCATGGCTGGGGCGGTGCTACCGTAATACACCTAATAGCAATACACATGCATAGTGCCTGGCGCGCAGAGGGCTGGCCTGCAGGCACGGATGCAGCGTTGCCACAAGCGCCTCTGGTCCCAAGGGGCAGCAATTCGCATCCCCCGAAGCAGAGCAATGTGTGGCAGGGCGGGTATCGTGCTCTCTTCCTCCTCCGAGGCAGGAGCTAGAAATCCCAGCCCTGCCCAGACCAGCCTGAACTCGGCTTTTTGTCCTGCCTTTTTCGGTGGCCCGGGAGAAGACCTGGTCCCTGGCCTCTGTGTTGTGCAGCAGCCCCCTTAGCCTGTCCCACCACCTCCTTTCGAGAGGTTACGAACGAGCCAGGAAACTCTCGCCAAACCTGGCGCCCACCTTGGGCTGGCGATCGATGGGTTTAGCTGGCTTAGCGCGAGCCCGGAAGGGCTCCTGGCTCTGCCACACGGCGCAGCACGGCCTGCAGCTTGCTCCTACTCCCCTGGCACCAGGAGATGTTCAGGAGACCCGCCCTGGCTCCATCACCGGCCCTACTGGTTTCAGCCTTTGTTGCTAATCTCCTTCGCCGCTGGGGGGGCCAGGCTGGGAGCCAGACTGTAACCTGAGCGCCGGGGAATCGCGTTCCCACCATCCTACCCACAGCAAGTCACATTTTGGGGCATGTTTGTGATAACATGCACTGCTTCGTTCCCATGGGGCTCCTCCCCGGGATGCAGGCCTGGGGAAACTGAGGCATGGGAGCGACAGGGAAGAAATGACTTGCCTGGAGCCACTCACTGGGTCAGGAATAGAACCCAGGAGTCCTGACTCTGCCCCTTCCACCAACAGACCCTCCCAGAGCTAGGGATAGAACCCAGGTGTCCTGGCACCCAGCCCCCCCCACTCTAACCACTAGACCCCACACCCTTCCAGAGCTGGGATAGAACCCAGCCCCCCCTGCTCTATCCCCCGCCCCGCAGGCAAACCAGGACCCTGGGAGCTACTTCCACATGGAGACCCTGGTGTTGATCGCGCAGGACCTGTTCTTCGGGGGCACGGAGACCACTGCCATCACCCTGCAGTACGGCTTCCTGCTCCTCCTCCGCTACCCAGAGATACAGGGTGAGCCTCAGGGGTGGGCTCTCTGGGGCCGGGTGCGGTGCGGACACCCCGGCTTTGCCTCACACTCGGACGAGGAAAGGCTGCGGGGTTGGTAGCCCCGTCAAGGGAATTTCCAAAGGCCGCACAGGAAGTCGGTAGCAGAGCCAGGCCCCGAAATCAGGCCCGGCCTTGACTTTCCTACGATCTGCAGTGCCTCCGGACTGGCCCCAGGGTGGCAGCGCTCACTGCTGCCAGCACGGCCCTGGGCCCCGGGGGGAGGTGTGTGCGGAGCTGTCCCAACCATAGGACAGTTCAAGGTGGCTGTCATGGGCGGCAGGGGAAGGCAAACAGCTCCCTGCGTCATGGGATTAGGCAAGGTCGGCTTTCGTTTTGGCTTGTTGGGTTAAACAAGCTTTGCCGGAGACAACGCATGTGAACCACAAAGCCAGGAGCCAAAGCACGAACCCCGCACGGATTCGAGACCCGACCCTCGTGAGTGGAGCCCGGCGGTGCCAACTCCTTCAAGCTGAGCGGTACTGGGAAAAGCAGGACAGATGGGGTGTTAGTGCCAGGATCGAAGTCAGCCTGACCTCAGCTCATCTGCTTTTCTTCGGGGCCAGTTTTTAAAGCTGGCTTCAGCCTCGCACTGTGTGTGCAGGGCCTAGCGTAGACGGGCCAGCGTGGTTGGCGCGTTAGCGTTAGCGCAATATCCATCTTCAACACTAATCAACAGGCCTCGCTTTTATATAGCACCTTCGACCGGTCGAGCTCACTGTGATCACGGGTCGCAGAAGGGGAAACTGAGGCAACTGGGGCAGGAGTCACCCAGGAGGCCAGTGGAAGAACTGGGGAGTAAAAATGGCAGTCTCTTCAATTCCACACCAGTGCTTTTTGCACAAGGCAACGCTGCCCTCCACGCCAAAACCATATGGCTTGCGTGTAGGAGGTAAATATTTAGCTCTACTATTGTCAAGAGACAATTAGATAAGTGCCTTTGTAACATCCCACCTGCGTGTCGCTTAGACCGTGGGGTGACCGCCACATGCCAGCGTACGTGGCCTTTTCCAACGATTGCTCAACGTCTTGGCTGGCTCCCCGTGAGTCTTTTGTGCCTTTTGTCCTGTTGCCCGGTGAGCTTGGGCTGTGTGAGAGCGTTATGCAAGCCGCAGGGTTTGTTCCTGGTTAAACAAAGCTGGTTGTATAACGCTGGCTGGTTTATTCTCTCCTTTGCGTGCACAGCAGAATTGCAAGCTCGTAGCACTAACGGCAGGTCACCACGGGGGCAAATGTAACAGCCTGGCTGCGGTGTGGCGTAGGCCAAATCGTGCACCTCCTTGCAATGCTAGTGAAGCAGTCCCGTATTTTTTAAAAAGTGGACTCATTTACTGTATAATTCACCCGGCGGATTAATGAAGACGTGCTCTGGGATGCGAAGCCATAGGTTGTTAATGAGTGGATCACAGCAGCAGACAAACGGCATCTTTTTTTATACGCCTTGTGCAGTTAACCTGTGGAACTCAAGGCCACAGGATTCTGTTGAGGGGAAGCAGGTGATATAATTGGCCTCTGAGCTCTTTTAGACCATTGCTGGAATAATTATAACAGCCTAGCTCTTTTCATTCCCTGCTCTCAATGTGTTTTACTAAGGAGGCTGGGCTTAGGGACACCATTGTCCAGATGGGGAAACTGAGTCGCAGAACAATGGAATGGCTTGTCCCAGGCAACAGAGCCAGAACTAGAACCTATGTCTGTAGAATAACAGTATTCTTTATAAGGGAAGGTTAAGGGGGGGTTTTCCTATTGGCAGTAGAATCCATCTCCTGTACTAAAAACAAATCTGTCCAACTTTTTGACCTCGTTAATATCCGGTAGGACTGAAGCTAGAAGTGATTCGTTCCCAGTGAAGCAAGAACTGGGCAGGGCACAGTTTTCCCCTCAGTTGAGTATTTTTCTGAGTTTTTTCATTTTTCCCCCTTCTCTCTCCAATGGGGGAGGGAGGTTCAACATCTCAAGGAATCTTTGCAAACTGAAAAAAACCCAACCCCGAAACAAACGAATCACTTTTGTGTTTTGCTCTGGGCCCATCCAACCGGCTGAACTGTTCCCTCGCCCTTTGACACGCTCGTGTTGTGGGGCTCATCCGCTTCGGCTTGGAAGGGACCGGAGGAACCGCAGGATGGTTCTTGTAGAAAACGTGTTGAAACATTTGCCGCGCTGTAAATACCGCCCCCTCCTCCGACGCCCTTATTTGAGCCAAGGAATCTCTCAAACCCAATCCTGCTTCATCAACCGATCGGACCAAATCAGCCTTTTTCACCAAGGGAGAAAGCCAATTTGTTGGCAAAGTCCCTCCCGGCCCGAAGCCCTGGAGGTCAGTCTCCCAGGATGGTCAGAAACGGCCCCGGGGGAGACCCGTCTTGTGGGGGACTGGCTTTCTCCTGGCCCCTGATGTAGGAGGCTGGATGGGGGCCAAGTGGGGCAAGCCACAGTGTTATGGCTGTTCTCTGCTCCCCCAAGGGATAGAACCGATGTTAGAACCTGGACAGGCTGAAACGTTCCTTCTCCACATGGGGGGGGGGACCAGGTTGCACCCTGGGAAATGTAGTCCTCACAAGGAGCCGGCCTATTGAGGAAAGTGGCACCCCGAGCCATGTGAACTACAACTCCCACTCCGGACTCAACTTGTGTCTAGTTTGGAGCCCCACTGTTCTGGGGGGGGAAATGTGATGACAGGTTTCCCTCACACACACACACACACACACACACACACACACACACACACAAATTGTGATGACAGGTTTCTCTCACACACACGGGCGCACACAAACACACACATTGTGATGAAAGGTTTCTCTCTCACACACAAATTGTGATGACAGGTTTCTCTCTCTCTCATATATATATACACACACACAAATTGTGATGACAGGTTTCTCTCTCTCTCATATATATATACACACACACAAATTGTGATGACAGGTTTCTCTCTCTCTCATATATATATACACACACACAAATTGTGATGACAGGTTTCTCTCTCTCTCATATATATACACACACACACAAATTGTGATGACAGGTTTCTCTCTCTCTCTCACACACACACACACACACACACACACACACACACACACGTGTCAAATTTTCAGCCCAGGGGGTTGCCGTAAGAGACTTTCAATCCGTTTCCTCACCTTTCCCCGCAGGAAGGCAGGGGAGGAGACTCCAGCCCCGGCTGGCTGTGGCCTGGTCGGCCCAGGGGTGCTGCAGGGGAAGTTGGGGGGATACTGGCGCTCGGGCCTCTGCCAAAGGGCCGCCAGGCACTGTGTGACCCCCAGGGACTAGCAGACCCGCAGCTGCCCGGGGAGCAGAGCAGCACTAGCGCCGCTGGACTTGCCGGGCAGGGCTCCCAGCGGGGAACTGGGGCGCAAAGGCTCCATCTTGGCAGCGCTGAGACCATGTGGCCCCCCCCAAAGAACCCCAGGGGGGCTGGCCCGGGGGTTCCCCCCGCTGAGCCTGGAAGCCATTGGGCGTCGTGGGGAGACAGGGAGCCGGGCCCGAGCAGGCCGAAGGCAAGTCACTTTATTGGGGAGCGGCTCAGCGGGCCAGGAGGCGGAGCTGGTAGGGCCGGGGGATGCTGCCCAGCCCGCTGGACTCAGGCGAGATGTCGATCTCAGCGGGGGCCACCAGGGCCCGCAGGGTGAAGTGCTGGAGGATGGAGGTGAGGAAGATGAACAGCTCCATGATGGCCAAGGACTCCCCCCAGAAGCCGGCACACGTGGGCACGGAGCCTGCGTCCCGCCAGCCGCAGGGGGGCCAGGCCAGCCCGGGCTCCCCCCACCTCCCAGGGGCCTGCCCGGCCTCCCTCCACCTCCCACTGCTCTGGAGGAGCTAGCCTGGGGAAAGGGAGCCCAGGGGCTGCTCTCAGCTCTATGGAAAAGGGGGACAGTTCCCACAGGAGAACAGGGAAGAAAGCCCAGGAGTCCTGGTTCCCAGCCCCCTTGCTCTAACCACTAGACCCCGCTCTCCTCCCCAGGCCCAGGAGTCCTGGTTCCCAGCCCCCTTGCTCTAACCACTAGACCCCGCTCTCCTCCCCAGGCCCAGGAGTCCTGGTTCCCAGCCCCCTTGCTCTAACCACTAGACCCCGCTCTCCTCCCCAGGCCCAGGAGTCCTGGTTCCCAGCCCCCTTGCTCTAACCACTAGACCCCGCTCTCCTCCCCAGGCCCAGGAGTCCTGGTTCCCAGCCCCCTTGCTCTAACCACTAGACCCCGCTCTCCTCCCCAGGCCCAGGAGTCCTGGTTCCCAGCCCCCTTGCTCTAACCACTAGACCCCGCTCTCCTCCCCAGGCCCAGGAGTCCTGGTTCCCAGCCCCCTTGCTCTAACCACTAGACCCCGCTCTCCTCCCCAGGCCCAGGAGTCCTGGTTCCCAGCCCCCTTGCTCTAACCACTAGACCCCGCTCTCCTCCCCAGACCCAGGAGTCCTGGCTCCCAGCCCCCTTGCTCTAACCACTAGACCCCGTTCTCCTCCCCAGACCCAGGAATCCTGGCTCCCATACCCCCTGTAACCACCAGACCCCACTTCCCGGCCCAGCCCTCCCCCAGTGGCGCTACCTGCCGAGAAGGCCATGAAGGCGTCGTTTCTGCGGAAGCGACCGTCCTGGTCCAGGAAGTGGGTGGGGTCGAAGCGGCCGGGGTGCTTGAACTGGCTGGGGTCAGCCTGGGCCGTGCACAGCAGCGGGATGATGTTTATGCCCTGCGGAGAGGAGCGTGTAGGCGGGGGCCGGGGGACTAGCCCCGCCAAACCGTGTCCTGACGTTTCCCACCGGCTCTCTGGCCGCCCCTAGCAGGGGGCGGGGGCTCCAAGCTGCCACGCGCCCGGCGGTCTGGCTGGGGGCCCAGCTCGGTTCGCCCCAGCGCCGGGAACGTTCTCGGACCCGACACCGACTGCAGGTGAGCCACGAAAGGGGGCGTGGTGGGGAAAGGGGCGTGGTTTGAGGGAAAAGAGGGTGTGGCCATGGGGAAAGGAGGCGTGGCCAGTCAGGAGACATGGTGGGAAGAAAGAGGTTGTGGCTTGGAAAGCAACTGTGAGGAGTGACCTGGGAAAGGGGCGTGGTTAATGAAAGGCTGTGTGGTCAGAGAAGGGGTGTGGCAAATGGAAGGGGGTGTGGTTGGAGAAGGGACGTGGCTGATGAAAAGGGGTGTGGCTAATGGAAGGGGGTGTGGTTGGAGAACCGGCGTGGCTAATGGAAGGGGTGTGGTTGGAGAAGGCGTGACTAGTGGAAGGGGTATGGTTGGAGAAGGGGTGTGGCTAATGGAAGGGGGTGTGGTCGGAGAAGGTGTGGCTAGTGGAAGGGGTATGGTTGGAGAAGGGGTGTGGCTAATGGAAGGGGGGGGGGTCGGAGAAGGGGCGTGGCTAGTGGAAGGGGGGGTGGTCGGAGAAGGGGCGTGGCTAGTGGAAGGGGGGGTGGTCGGAGAAGGGGCGTGGCTAGTGGAAGGGGGGGTGGTCGGAGAAGGGGCGTGGCTAGTGGAAGGGGGGGTGGTCGGAGAAGGGGCGTGGCTAGTGGAAGGGGGGGTGGTCGGAGAAGGGGCGTGGCTAGTGGAAGGGGGGGTGGTCGGAGAAGGGGCGTGGCTAGTGGAAGGGGGGGTGGTCGGAGAAGGGGCGTGGCTAGTGGAAGGGGGGGTGGTCGGAGAAGGGGCGTGGCTAGTGGAAGGGGGGGTGGTCGGAGAAGGGGCGTGGCTAGTGGAAGGGGGGGTGGGGGCAGAAGGGGCGTAGCTGGTGAAAAGGGGTGTGGCTGGGGGTAGGGGTGGAGCCAGGACACCCTCCGGACAGTAATTTCCACCTTCCTTGCCTGCGTAAGTCGGAGCAGCCCGGGGCCGGTACCTTGGGCAGGGTGTAGCCGCGGAACTGGATGTCCCGGGTGACGGTGTGGGGCACACCCATGGGCACGATGTCCGCGAAGCGCTGGATCTCGTGGATGACGGCGTCGGTGTAGGGCATCCGGCTGCGGTCCTCCATGCAGGGGCTGCGGTGGGGCCCGATCACCCGGTCGATCTCCTCGTGCAGCTTCTCTGCAGGGGAGGGGGTAGGGGCAGGCAGGTTCCACACCCGCCGCAAAGCCCCCGGGGGCCAGCTGGTGCAGAGCCGCATCGCTTCACTGCCCTCGGCAGACACCAGCTAGGGGCCTAGGGCCCCTTGGGGCCAGCTTGGATCTGGCCCCCTTGAAATCTGGCCTGCAGCTCTCTGTGGGTGAGCCACGGCCGTGAGTCCCCCGCCGGTCCCCATCCTCCCGAAGCCAACGTAAGCTGGGACGGCCCCGGCACTTGGGAATTCTTCCTCCCCCCCGCCCCGGGGTTACCTTCTATCTCGGGATGCCGGAGTAGGATGAGAAGTCCGTAGCGCAAGGTAGAGCTGACGGTCTCCGTCCCAGCAAAGAAGAGGTTCACGGTGGTTTTAGACATGGTCTCCTCATTAAAGTGGGTGGCGGGGTTGTTCTTTTCCTGCAAAGGAGGGAGGCGAGAAGGTTGCGAGTGAGTGTGAGTGTGTGTGTGTGTGTGTATTTGTGTGTGTGTGTGGGTGTGTGTGTGTGTGCATGTCCCCACCCTACCGACAGCCTGTTGTGGGAGATTTCCTACAGCTGCATGACATGTCTCAGCTAGAACTTGTATTCTGCAAAACACCAAAACATTGGGCGACTTTGCGGTGATTTTGCCAGACTGGGTGAAATTTTGGGGGGGCGTGTGGGGAAATCACAATATTTTCATCATTTTGGTTTGAAACAATGTATGCGGGATAGGGGGAATTACAGTGTTTGAGGATGATCGATACTGAAATGAAAGGAAAATTTTCTCCACTTTTTGATTTGGGGAACAATTTCCATTCTTTCCCCTGGGTTTCTTTCAGAGTGCCAGCGAACGGGGAATTCTGGGTTTGCTCCCCACTCTGAGAGATGCTAAGAGGGGTTGGATTTGGTACCCAGATGGGGATCTTTGAGGAGCAATTAGTTTCTGGAGAAACAGCGCTCTGTCTTCCCCCGGACACACTATTTGCCTGGCGGTTCCTGCTTTCCACAACACAGCTGGCCCGCTTGGGGGTGTTATTCATTGGAGCAGTTGTAAAATTGAGGGGCTCTTGACTAGAACTGGACAACTCCCCCTCCCCCACCACCAGGCAAATTTTGGGGGACACCTGAACTATTTGCAAACCAAGTTGAATCCAGTAACTAGAACCAACCAAAACCAATTTGATTTTTTTATTACGAAAACGTTGAATCGATTCATTTCTGAATGGCTCGTTGTGATTGTCCTTTTCAAAATGAGGTTTCATTTTTTTTAAAAAAAGGGCAAAACCATATAAAAATATCCTGAAACGACAGGAAAAAATGGTCGCAGCATTGGGTTGAGCGAAAGAGACAATCCATTTGTCCCAAAACAAAACATCTTTGTTTCAGCAAGAAATTATTATTATTCTTTTTTTTCAGGGTTGAGGGGGTTTTTTTGGCTGGGCTCAGGCTCTGAATCAATATACCCAGGAGTTGCTGAGCTCAGCTGTTGATGGCTTGTGCTCCTCGTTAAAGATCAACTGGTATTTGCTGGCAAGTACTTTATGACCACGGGTTTTTATCAGATTCAAGGGAAGTCGATTGCATTCCTTCTGCGCTAAGTGACGCAAGATGGGATGAAGATGGACAGCCCGTGGTGGGTAAAGAACAGGTTAGGAACTATTTAGAAAAGATAAACGTACACAAATCCATGGGTCCGGACTTAGTGCATCCGAGGGTACTGAGGGAGTTGGCAAATGTCATTGTGGAGCCTTTGGCTATTATCTTTGAAAAGTCGTGGAGATCAGGAGAAATCCCGGATGACTGGAAAAAGGCAAATGTAGTGCCCATCTTCAAAAAAGGGAAGAAGGACGATCCAGGGAACTATAGGCCGGTCAGTCTTACCTCGGTTCCTGGAAAAATCATGGAAGGGATCCTTAAGGAATCCATATTGAGGCACTTGGATGAGAGGAAAGTGATTAGGAATAGTCAGCATGGATTCACAAAGGGCAAGTCGTGCCTGACCAATCTGATTAGCTTCTATGATGAGGTAACTGGCTCGGTGGACATGGGGAAGTCAGTGGATGTGATAGACCTTGACTTTAGCAAGGCTTTTGATACGGTCTCCCACAATATTCTTGCCAGCAAGTTAAGGGAATGTGGATTGGATAAATGGACGGTAAGATGGATAGAAAGAGGCTATAAGGACAGGCCCAGCGGGTAGTGATCAACGGCTCGATGTCAGGATGGCAGTCGATTTCTAGCGGAGTGCAACTCCAGTGTTAATATACTTGTTCTTGAAACAGTGTCATGAGACTTTTAATTATTGCAAATGGACATGCCTGTCCTTTGTGTTTCATCGAAAAGACAGTAACTTCCAAGAGAGCAGTGATCTCAAAATTCCACGAGGAGTAACAGTTAACCCAAACTAAAGACTTAGTTCGGATTAACTTTAAACTGCCGTGTGTAGCCGCGGGCAGTTCGTTCAGACTAAGGGAGATTTAAAAATGGCGGCCAGATGGGAACATGCAAATAAAGCCTGGGATATTTAAATCCTGGGCTTCATTTGCAACCCCGGTTCCCTGATTTGCCTACCTAGCTCGAATTAACAAGCTAGTGTAGACATACCCTTAGAGCTTGTCAGAACTCCCAGATTCTGTCCTATAAGAAATTCCACTATCTTGAAAAGTTTGAATGGTAATTCCTAGCCATAAATAAATGAATAAATCTAGGAACTCCAAACTTCTCATAAAAATACATTCATAATTTTTATTTTGTTGAGAGGCTGAGGGATTTGGGTCTGTTTTTTTTTTTTTTTTTTTGCTAGCAGACTTCAACTACCAAAGAGGATGGCAAGAGGCTGTTCTCAGTGGGGGCAGATGGCAGAACAAGGAGCAATGGGCTCAAGTTGCAGTTGGGGAGGCCTAGATTGGATATTAGGAAAAACTATTTCCCTATGAGGGTGGTGAAGCACTGGGCTGGGTTCCCTAGGGAAGTAGTGGAGTCTCCATCCCTAGAGGTGTTTAAGTCTCGGCTTGACAAAGCCCTGGCCGGGTTGATTTAGTTGGGATTGGTCCTGCCTAGAGCAGGGGGCTGGACTTGACCTTCTGAGGTCTCTTCCAGTTCTATGATTCTATGATTGCGCTCCCTCCGCCCCACCTCCTAAATTCCTTTAAAACCTCCCCATTCTTTCCATTTCAAGGAAATATGGCCCCCAAGCCCCAAAGAGTTTTAATCTCCCCATCTAGGGCCATCCTCAGAATGTATAGGGCCGTCCGCAGTCCTATTACACTGGTGCCCCTGTGCCCGACGGCAGCGGAGAGGGGACCGTGTTTTAGAGCTGCAATTTGATCATCTGCAGCGACACCCGAATGAAATAGTTTTACAGCAAATTTTACACGAAGGTCCGGCAGGTGTAAGCGAATGAGACCCTCTTTGGGGGAAGTAGAGCCACAGAACAGGGTGGGCATTAAGACCCAGCGGTGCCCCAAATTTTCGGGGGCCCTACGCCGCTGGGTGTTGTGTGTATGCGTAAAGATGGCTCTGACCCCACCCATCCAAAAAATAACGTGGGCTTCATAACTCATCGCCCACTGCCGCTCCCCTAAATTAGAAACGTTGGACTGGAAGGAACGTAAGTCCCCTGCTGTCAAATGCAGC